TTTTTTCATGTATTATTTTTTCTTCTCTTTTCAAAGATGCAATATGAAACCGGTCTTTTTATCTTTCGGGAGAGAAGAACAAACAAGTTGTGTATCAGTGTGTGACTGTCGTCGGTTGCGGATGAGATGAAGTTTTTGGGGAAAAAAGGATTAGAAAAGGGGTTGAATTTTCGAAAGGGACTACGGCGCAGCGCAAACCGGTTTGCTAGTATCAAAAATGAGGAGATGAGACTACTTGGAGGAGCAAACTGAATGAAGCAACTTGACCATTAAAAAAACTCAACAAGATTTTCTACCAATTGCAAGGATCTACAACGGAAGAATTTTCATTCCTCATAAAATCATTGTTAAAACAAGTCGAGAATAAACCCCCAGAGGCGAAAAAGCTTTGAGATTGTAGTAAGACGTCGTTGAAAGAAAAAAAGTTTATATTTCTTAACTAAAAAAAACAGCATTAGTTTATAGTAACAGAATCACAGATTACGGCAATTCAACACAAATTTGGATATCACAAATTTCGTTCAGTGTGATGTATACTGAGAGGAAAACGACAAAGTTCTCAAACAAGCCTTACTTGTACCAAGAAAATATTTTTTTGAAAATTATCAAAAAATAATTTTTTTCTGCCAAACATGCAGTGAGTATGCCGGAATGAAAAATTTTTATCGCAAAAATAGATTTAGTAGTTCAAATAAAATTGCATTCTCTGTACACGCAGAGAATGCAATTTTCTCCCATACGTATATTTCCTCAGGAATTCTTCGGCATAATTTTCTAACACAAGAAATGTCATTTCTAGCATTACTCCTTCGTTATTCGATACTCCTATACGTATTTTGCTCCCGAAAAATCTTTGTTTTATGCGAAACAAGGGATAGTAGTTTTTCGTTTCGGCTGTCTAATAATCACAGACAAGAAATGAACCCTTAAATGAAACAATAATAATTATATGATAGCAATCTTGTAACTTAGGGATTAAATTTTTTTTTTGATAAATTTTTCTCTGTATGAGATCTTTTCATCCTGAAAAGGCACCGTCTGGTGTGAATTATCCGCCTCTTGAGCCAAATATTTCGTTGCTGTCGAAAACAGAACAGTTATTCATGTTTGAGACTTTCAAATTTGGACCAAACAAATTCTTTTTTGGCAATTTTCAACTAGCGATTTTGTTGGCCCAAACAAGACTTGTTTGACAACGTGTTTGTTTTTCTCTTAGTGTACGGAAAGCTCAATTTACACATCGGCTTCATTCGAGAATACAACATTCAATTCATTCGTCAATGTAATCATCTCGTAGGTACGAATTTTTTATCAATTCATGAAAGTCGAAAATCTCTCGACTGGAGATTGTATTAGGTTAAAAAAAATAGAAGTTTTCCATTTTTTTTGTGAATTCATGTGATTTGACGTCAAGGGCTGTTTTATTTGATGCAAGTAAATGTATCTCAAGAAGAAATAATAGATATTCACCGTAAGATCTTATTTATTTGAAATTGGTTCAAGCATATAATACTTGTTCCAAGAAAGAAACATCTCAATAAAAATAGTTTTTTCTATCAGTGTATTTACATTATTTATCGCAGTCTCAGGTGGATACGTCTATGGTTTCAATATGGAGGGTCATTTTGGAAAACGATCCTTATGTGCAGCGCCATCTGTTGGAATTCTAGAAAATTCTAGACATTTCGAGGTAATTCGAGAAGTTTCTTGAAATTTCGCAACAATTCAAGGAGTTTCTAGGAAATTCGAGAAAGAAGGAAAGACCATGGACGTATCCCGAGTCAAAATTTTACCGGGTCTCCCGACGTAGTTTCAATGTTCTGAATCTATATTGCTTTGATGTCCAAATTCTCCGCCGAATTTTTCCGTACTTTCAACTTATCTCAACGGGAAGGCCCATGGACGTTGAAAAACACTCAATATCCACCGTATATTAAACGTACTCTCAACGTTAATGACGTTTGTTTTCTGTTAACGTACGTTGTAAGTTTCGACGTCCACATTTGATTGTATTATGGTCATTATTGACGATAATTAAAAAATTCATTACCGTGTCAAAGACTTACGTAACTAAATTATTAGTGTTAGTACATTAATAACATTAGTTCGGAGTTCAAACAATCGTGCATCTGAAGGGTGAGTTGAGTCCAAGGGTCAGAAGGGTTAGTTGAGTATAAGGGTCAGATGAGTATAAGGGTGAGTTGAGTCCAAAAGATTACGCGAATCTAAGGGTCAGATAAGTGAAAGCCTCAGTTGAGATTGAATGTCAGTTGAGTTTAAAGGTGAGCTGAGCCTAAGGGTCAAAAGAGTGCGAAGGGTCAGGCGAATCCAAGGGTCTGCTTTGTAAGGGTCAGTTAATTAAAAACCTCAGTTGAGCTCAACTGTCAGTTTAATTTAAGGGCCAGTTGTGAGTATGGGTCAGATGAGTCTAAGACGAGGATAAGGGTCAAATGAGTCTGAGCGTCACATCGATTTTGAGGGTCAGGTGAGCTGACTCTTAGATTGCACTGACCCTTAAATTCAACTCAGCCTTTTAATATCCACGTACAATTACGGCTGTATCTTCGATACAGCCGCCTGCGATTTTTGGCCGATCTCTAACGTGAGCTTGTGTGATTTAAAACTAACAATATGATTAGGGAAAAGCGGTAGAAAAACCCTCAGATATGAGGAGTGGTGCGCATTTGACATGTCTCTCTAAATCTTTATCAGTCCAAGATATTTCTGAAATCTCAGCGTTCTAATGCAGAATCGAATTTCAGTCATTCAGTGATTTAAATTCTAGATTTTCCCCTGACCTTTTGCATTGCGATTTTCTTTTACACCTCCTTCGTTCTTTTTATATTTTGTATCTCAGCTAAAAGATGCCGAGCGATTCACATTTTAATGTAGTGTTTAACATTCCATTAAGAGATACTGAATTTCTAACCAAACGATACGAAAAAACCACCGGAGAAATTGAAAATTCCATTAAATGTGATATTAACATTTCACAATGAGTTTGAAAATTACAGCTATCATTAGCTATTCTAGTTATCATTCCAGTTATCATCGATGATTGCCTAACATATCTTACTCAATATTGTTGAATTTCCAATTAAGGATAGATAGATAGATAGATACATACGCGGCTGGTCGATTAAATACCCAGAGTCACCTAAATTTTATGATTTTTTGTAACTTCCATTTTTTCCCCTGGTCAGCCTATCAGCCCTAGCCCTGTGTCCAATTAAGGATATCCAAGTATCTTTTCTATAAATTTGATGATTCTAAATATCATCAAATTCGTCAATTAAATTGCGTGAGAAATATTTGATCAAAAACATTAATATTCAGCGTCATTCAAATTATATTTTACAGAGAATTATTATTTTTTACAACATTCGTTATTTACAAATAAATAATTGAAATTGTTTAAACTTTTGGAAACCTTATTGTTTTAGACTGAATAGACTGAATATTAATAAAGTTGTTACAATTCCAAAGAAATGATTTTTATGGTGGAAAATTGATTGCTTATTAATTATTTATAGAAAATGCTCGTAATTTTCAAAAATGGCATTTTTAAAATTATTTTATCAATCTTCCTCCAAAAGTAAGCGTTCTAATTTTTTTTTCAGTTTTTTAAATGTTTTCTAACGATTCAATATCGAGATTCAAATTCAGACCTACAAAGTTTAAATAATAAAAGCGTTGTAAAATGTCCGGAAACTTATGGTCAAATGGGGCTAAAATGAAAGCTCTGATGTTCGACTACAAAAGTAAAAAATCATTTCACTGGAGAAAAAATAGCCAAAGTACTTGGATATCCTTAGTAGTAAAATCGATGAATAATTTGATCTCAAATTGAGTTCAAATCGACAACACTGAAAATGCGCAACCAGAAAATATCCAAATCCATCCCGCCTCATCCCATCTTTCCGCGCCTTTCAGAAAAAACAATACTTTCCCATTCTCAACACTCACCCATTCCCCATAAAAAATACGACTCAAACGAATTCCGTTTCCCCCAATAACAATTAAAGACCCCCAATCCCACAGAACATGAAAAGTATAAAATTCAGTAACACTCCGGAGTGTTGCCTCAGCTCGGTGCGCGGCTAACTTCTACGAGGCTCGCGTTTCATTTTCGTTTGACGCGAGCCGCGCGCGCACACAACGAAAGAAAAACCCTCCACAAGTCGTCCACCGCTGGATACACTCTCGTCTCAGTCGCACGCGGAACGCGAAGCCGCGAAGACCGTTGGCGCCGGGGTAATTTTGCTCAGCGTTCGACCGGCGACTCTCCACGTTTTTATGTTTTTATATTTCACCGAATCATTCTAATTATTGCAAACGTGAGTGGAGGCCGCGAGTGAGCTGAGTCTGATTGTCAGACGGGCGCGAGTGAAGTCACAACAATTGACATGTTTATGTTTATTTCGTAGTGTTTTTGTCGAATTAATTGACACTGGGCGATGGAAATGCGCGCGAATGAGAGTAAAAATTGGTAATAACTCGGAGTGCGCCAATCCTATTATCTGGAGTCCGTTGGGGAGGATAGAAAGGTCGAGTCGTATCTTTTGTTTTGTTTTAAGCTCCGAAAAAGAGTGAAAAAAAAACGGAAAACAAGTAAAAGTGAGATAGCGAATAATCTGGTGGGCTCTCTCCTCATCTCTGTGGAGTGTGTTGACGAAAGTTGTCTGCATTGGGTGCATGCTAAGGGGATGAGAGACATTCATACATGATTGTGATCCGGACGAGGAGAACCGGGCGTGCTGAGCGATACGAGAAGAGGACGCAAGGAAGCACGGTTCCACCGGTCTCCTTCTCCTCTCCCCCCTCGACCTGCCCCCTGTCCTAAACACTGACTCTCTCACTCCGGCGTTAAGTTCATACACGTCGTTTTCACAAACTAAACTGGTGTTAACCCCCAGGGGCAATTCCCAACTATATTCTATTTTCGATACACATAGTTCTTGTTGAGCGAGTTTTGTTGAATTTATATTTGTAAAACCGGTGTTAAAGATCCCGGCTGCATGGACCACGTCGCATTGGGACAGTGAGTGACAGGTAACGTCTTATTTTTCAGCATTTTACTTTCTAAATACGTGGAAAACGTCAGTTACAGTGGTTCTCCAATGTTGCTAAAGGGGTTACAATGTTTATTCGGAAAAATAACTTTTTGAAGGGGAGGTTGGGGTAAAATGGACACTTGACTTTTTTAAAAATGATAATGACAGGTTGAAATAGTGACCAAATTTAATCTTTTTTTTTTCAGTGCAAAGAGCAATTCTTGCCCTTTGTGGCGAGCCTAAACTGAACTCCATTGATAAGTTTGTTTCTGAGTTGTGAATAATTGAAAAAAAGTCTAGTGTCCATTTTACCCCACCCTCCCTTATTTCGGTTTCTTTTTTTGGGTTTGGATTTCCCGTGGAAAATCTCAGAAATTTTTCACAAAATCTCGCCATTCCAAAACGACATGGTATACTGTTGGAAATCTTCGTCTGAATGTTCCGTGCCAAATTCCGGAAATTTTTATCGTGTTCAAGTTCCACTAAAATTTCAGAAAATCTTGTCATTGGAAAATCAAATATTCCATTGATTTCCCGTTTAAATGATCTGGAAATCAATGAAATACTTGATTTTTCAGTTCAATTATTCTGTCAAAATTCAGGGAAAAATTGAAAATTCCATCTCACTCCTACTGAAAACTTACGAATTTCCGTCAATTCTACTTAAAAATTGAAATTTCATAACCATTTTTTTCCCTAAATCCGATTCAATGTAACTTTAATGAGATTTACTATAAAATCTTCCATGAAATTTCAAAAAATTCATTTAAACTGTGATTTCAGTTCACTGATTTCAGCGAAGATTAGAAAAAATCAAACAATTCAGATGAAATTATTCTCGATTTCTGAGTTATTCGACAATAAAGTTTGCTTTGATACTGAATATTCATGTTCAATGGAAAGATTTCATCTGAAGCTATTTCAATTAACGCGGATTCTACCCGAAACTTGAAAAATCATAAGTCTTTTCTCTCAAATAAAATTCAATGTCACTCTTCTTGAGAGTATTATGGCGGGTCGCCAAAAATGTAGAAGAAAGTCTGAAAAAAAATCGGGTTCGAAGTTTTTACATCTTGAATTCGTCCACGAAATTCCAAATTGCTGATGAAAACCGTTTATGTGATGTAATCCAATAATTTTTGGAATTTAGCATGGGCTCTTATGGGGACATGTGGATTTTCCACCACAAAACAGCGCAAAACATGAATTTTTGTAAAATATTATTTATTAATGTTCGGTGGATATATCTTCTGAATTTAATAAAATATTGTGTGGAATTTTTCCAATTAATTGTCTCTGCGCCTTGTGCAAAAAAAAAATCAATTTTTGGAGCAGTCACCCCGTCATAATAGCCTCACAACTATTACTCGTGAGTGTATGCGGAGCAATACAGGAGAATATTCTATTTTGTTGAATTAATGATATCCAACTGCACCCTTTTAGAATTTTTGTGAAATTTCATGGAAGATATTATAGTCACTCTTATGAGAGTGACATTGAATCGGATTTAGGGAAAAAATGGTTATGAAATTTGAAGTTTCAAGTAGATTTCACGAGAATTCATGAGCTTTCTGTGGGAGTGAGATGGAAATTTCACAACTTGATTGAATTTTCAGTGGAACATGAATATTTATAAATAAAATTACATGAATTGTCAATTTTTCCCTAAATTTTCCTGATTTTTCTGAATTTTCATAGAATAATTGAACTGAAAAATCAAGTATTTTATTGATTTCTATATCAATTGCACAGAAAATCAACGGAATATTTGATTTTTCATTGACCAGATTTCTTGAAATTTCAGTGGAACTTGAACACGATGAAAATTTCCGTAATTTGCCATGGAAAATTCAAACGAAATTTTTCAACAATGTACTTTGGCTGTTTTTTCTCCAGTCAAATTCTTTTCTACTGTTGTAGTCGAACATCAGAGCTTTCATTTGAGCCCAACTTGACCCAAAGTTTCCGGACATTTTGCAATGATTTTATTATTTATACTTTGCAAGTCTGAATTTCAAATCGTTAGAAAACATTTTAAAAATCTGAAAAAAGAAAGTTTCCTTTTAGAAGAAGATTGATGAAATCATTTAAAAATTGCAATTTCTGAAAATTACGATCATTTTCTATAAATAATTTATAAACAATCAATTTTCCACCATCAAAATCGTTTGTTCGGAATCAGAGATCAATTTCATGGCTAAAAAAATCAGGTTTCCGAAAGTCTGAACAATTTCAATTATTTATTTATAAACTATTTAGATAATTCAAATGACTTTCAATTTTCATGATTTTTTTCAAATTCTTCTCATACAATTTAATTGACAAATATGATTGTGGTTTGCGAAGGTTTAAACAATTGCAATAATAAACAACGAAATCTGAAAAATAAATAATAATAATATTAATAATAATGAATAATAAATAATTTTACATGAACAGGGCAAATTTTTATATTAAATGAAACAAAATTCGCTGTGTAGGAGTCGAATTTCAAAAAAATAATTCGTAATTGTTATTGTACACATTTTTTCAATAATTTTGAAAAAAAAACTCTGTCACTCCAAAATTAGAGGCCGTGAACTATTCTTAACATTTTAAGCGTGTGCGGGGCAAACGAACAATAAACAATCAATTTTTTGGACTAATATTTCTTTTTTGGACGTATATAATCGATCTTTAATGCATCAGAAAGCTCACTCCAATCGTCCGCTATCTTCAAGACTCATAATAGTCTCCTCTTAAGAATATGGGAAATTCTTGACTTCAAAATTTGACACATCCATGTTCGATCATTTCGGAGCACAGGTCTTATCTCTATCATATATTCTTGTCTTGAATTGAAAATGAACTATCCTTGCTCCGAGAATCTCCTGCTGAGATCGCTGATTTAATATTTATTCTTGAATTGAAATAAAAATACGCTAAAATCGAGAACTTCAGAATTTTTAATTGAACATCAAAATTCTTTCTTTCCGCTCGGTTATTATCATTATTATTACCATTATCGAGCGATTCTTTCTCTGTAAGTGGACAAAAACAAAATTTCAGAAAATTAAAAAAATTATGGGGGTTGGAACAGAGATTGGCCTCTTCCGTTCGCGTGCCTTACGTTGTAAACTCGCTTTTTAAAACTGGCCCTAATGGTCTTCTCTCAGAAACTATTGATTTGATCGATTCAAAGTTCGATGAAAACTCATGAAGTTTTTATCGGTAATAGTTTTCCGCAAACAAATTTTAAAGAGAAATGACGCCAGAATGAAAAAAAACATTACAGTTCTATGATCGCAATTGAAAAATTGAATTTAGAATAATTCTGGCAACATATACGATCCAGATACTTTCTTAGAATATAAAACCATTTAATTTTTCTTGTTTCGCGAGATGGACTGTCTATTTGTCTGGAACACTGGGTCAAGCACTGCTTCCTCTTCAAGTATCATAATTTTTTTCCCCGCTGTCTTTTTTTTAATGCAACAGATATCTGAAATGGCGAAAAGTGGAACTCTCCAGCTTTCCAAAGGAGAATATTTTTTCGGAAACGAAATTTAGAAATTTCACAATTTTTGACATCATTAGAAAAAACATTGCCATTTCAGGAAAAGTTATGTGATAATTTTCAGGAGGGTGATGTTGAATTTGATCTCAGGGGAAAAAAAATTTTAAATAAAGACAACGGTCTTTTTGATAATTTTTTAAAGGTGGAATAATAAGTACAATTTTCATTTTATTTCTAAACTTTGAAAAAATTCAATGGAATTGCAAATTTTTGAGTAGCAACAAAACGAGAATTCCCCAACTTCAGGTGAATGATACAGTTTCTGATCAGGACTAGGGTGAACAAGCCAAATGCTCGACGGTTAAGGGAAATCGAGTTTCGTGATAGGATCTTACATAAACGAATCACCTAGATCGGGATATGATGACTTCCATACCTTCAAGAATGTTTTAATTAGCAGAAAAAGAATTATTTGAAATGAAAATAACGAAACAAAGAATAATTAAATTAAGATATAGCTGAATGCCGCCGTCGAAACCCTTAATTTCTGGACGACTGGGCCATATTTTTTATTTATTTATTAAATGTCGATCAATAGAAAAAATAATTGATCATATGATTACACACGAGTAATATTATTGAAAGGTGGAATAATAAGCACAATTTTTATTTTATTTCATTTCGCAGAAACTAACCCCCATCCAGAAATTGACCTGTTCACCCTAGTCCACTGTTGAAAATTTTCCGCTGAATTTTCCATGTCAAATCTCGGAAATTTTCATCATCTTCAATTTTCACTGAAATTTCAGGAAATCTTGTCATTGAAAAAAAAACATAACCTCACAAACTATCTTCATCTGCAAGGTACGGACAGAGATATGACGAGAAGAAATTCGAATTTTCGGCGAGAAAAAAAAATAAAACAGATTTGATTTTTCCTTTTACTCTAATAAATGATTTCAAGTGAGAAAAAATGTTTCTCGTGGTTCTCATAACAACATGACAACCCACGTTAGAATGCACTGGTGGCAACACTTCGAGGTTGAATGTGAGGCTCAGTTGGATCGGCGCTGCCAACGTTGTAACTTGATTCTCCGACTTTATAATCTGTATCGCGAGAATGCCAATATCAGTCTATTACTATCCGCATATCTTTTTTACTGTTCATCCAAAAAATGCAATAGCTACACCGTTGAAAAGCTCATAAGCGATTTATATGTAACTGAAGACAGTTTTCCGATTTGTCGTCCCCTTATTATACCGAATGAAAATCATTTAGAGGTAGTGGAGGGGGAAGTTCTGTCGTGTATAGATACGCGGTGCGCTCGGCCTGAGATGTTGGACAATTGTGCAAAATGTAATTACATAGAATGACTCTGACTGACAATGTTTTCATGATTGTTTTCAAATTTTTCTCACGCAATTTAGTTGACAAATTTCATGATTGAAAATGGTTGAATTTACAATGTGGTCTGTACCAAACTGTCAAAGATACTTGGATC